GTACTTGCTAATTACGCGAAGGGTGGGGGTTGGTACTTAGGATAATTATTAATTACCTCTCATTACCTCTGGTCCAAAAATGGCCAATCACAACTACTGATGTTAAAAAATACTTTTTATTGTTAAACTAATTAGTAATGATTTTACTAAAAGAAACTGTGGTAACATGTAACGCTTGTACTGTTTGTTGTTCATGCGATTGTGGACCTTATCATGCGACCAATGTATTGGTAAGCAAGGTCTGTATATCCTATACATGGTTGAATATACTGACCTTTAAAATCGTTACAAAACTTTACTTTATTACGACAAATAACAGTCCAATTTAGTTACATAAAATTTTATCAAAAATATTCCTCTCTTAAAAGGATTTTTCCACATGACGAAGATTAAAAATCAAATTAAGCCAGAAAACAACGTAATTAGTCGTCTTTTGAGGTTCACAAACGAGATTACTGCCACATATTTCCATGCGTGAGCCTGATTTATAACATAATTAAAGTGGATGGTCAAAATTTAGCCGAAGCTTATCCAGAAATATTGAGTTTATGTTAATAAGAGGTCGGCGAAGCGAGAATTATACTTTATGGACCATATATTTACCAGAAAATTCATTATCGAAAAATATGGTTTTGCCACAAAGAACGAGATCCCGCGATCGTGGGAGGGTGATGATGAATCGAAGTTCGTTAACGAAAATGATATTTTTTTACGGGTGTTGAACCAAACTGAGGTATTTGCGGGAAAGCCGCTCCCGATTGGATTCTTAAAAATACCAGAACTTGATAATTTTATTATTTAAATGAAGACGACGAATAGAAAGTAAAAGAAAACTGAAATTCTGTGTCACAAAAATCAATGGAACGACCGATTAACTCCGGAAAATATCCATTCCTTTAGTTATAAATTGTGGACAATCCCTCATTAATTTTTACCACTGTAAGTTAATGTAAACATGTGTGATAAGTTTTGTCGATGTTGATATAAAGGGTGTTAGATTTTTTTTGTAATAAATAATAAATAATTCTGGTTAATTCTTGTGTAAAAAAGTCGCATGGATATACTTGTCTTGTTTCAGAATGGACAATGTTTCCAATGCTGTTGATGTCACCGGACGAAGGATTTGTTAGAAATGATTTATAATTTTATTGAGTAAACGCAGAGATTTAAAAGATAGTATGTGTTTGAATGTGGTGTACGTAATCAAAGGCTAGAATCTAAGTATCTGTAAAATATGTCTTGGCTAGGTGAAGTTTGGATGTCGGCGTTTGTTAAACAGGTGGTAACTCACCACCCTACAGTGTGCTGCGGTTGTTATAAGTAAAACTACGAGTAAAAGAAAAAGAGAATAGTCTAGAAATGTCATTTGGTGTCAAGAAACATCTGGACGGTTCGAGAACGTTCTAGAAGGTTAAAGCGATGATCCTGACGACAGAATTTTAGTTTTATGATAGACTTTTTACGTTCATGTTATCAGATGTATAGTTGAATTATTGTAAAAGTTAAGTTTGAAATAAATTGACTTGCCAAAAACCAGTGTAACATTGATAACAGCGGTGGAATATAAAATAAAAGTTACCTAAGCAAACTATTCATGGTAAATACAAGATCATTACGTACGAAAGAGATATAGGTTCTTCAGACCTACCAGCATGGTTTCTGAAGACAGAAGAGAAGAGAGTTAGGCGAAAAGAGGAAATGGAAAGGTGCAAGAAGGAGGAAGAGGAGAAAGAGAAAGAAAAGGTGTAGGAAAAAGAAGAGGAGAAAGATGAAAGGTGCAGAAAGGATAAAGAAAAGAAGAGGGAAAGGCAAGAAGAGAGCAAGGAGAAGAGGCATAAAAAAGCGGAGGTGTAAATTATGAATGGCTTTCTATAAATTCAAGAAAACCACAGGCAGAAGGTAGGTCAGCTAAACAGTCGGGTGGATTTTCTAATACAGTAACAAAAGCAGCAGCAAGAAACTTAAAAACTAATTTAGAGAATTTAAAAACTAAGTTGGAACTGCAGCAAGAGAATCTAGAAACCAATTTGAAGCAACAGCAAGATAATTTAAAAGCTAATTTAGAGCAAGAATAAGAGAATTTAAAAGCCATTTCCAAGCGGTAACAATAAAAGGCTAGAGCGGAGTTGGAAAGGCAAATTAGAACTTAAATAGTGAAGTTAAAAAAAGCATTCGTACTCAAGCTTCGGTAAGCAATATTGAAGCTGAAACCGCTACCTTTTCTTTATCAATCAAGCCATATTCAAACCCTAGTTTTACAAAACCATACCAGCAAGTCCCTTAAGCCACCCACGTTGAAAGGTTAGAAAATATTGGAAACGTACTCACTCTAATTTGAAGCTGCAGCTAGAGCGAATGGCTGGGTCAAGAGATAGCGGCTTCATTAAAAGTATCGCTGCATGGACAGGCAGCAACCGCTTTACAATTACTTTCCCAAATGGAACCCTGTTATTTATCTCTCGTCCAAGCTTTGGATACAAGATATGGCCAGTATCATTTGAAACGGATGTTACAAAGCCAGCTAAAGGTTCACAGTCAAAAACACAATGAGATTCTACAGGAATTCGAGGTCGATATAAAAAGATTGTTACATCTGTCCTTTCCACAAACATTACAAGATATTGAAATACAGTAAGCTCTTTGGCTACAATACCACAAGATGCTTAGTAAGACACTGATTGCAGCCCAGTAATACGAAGCAGCAAAAATCATATCTAGATCCTCCCGCGCAAAATTGGGAGAAATTAGTTTCCAGGAAAGTGAAAAGTCCACTACTAATACTATCCTCCAACCTGCCCTCTCACAAATTTTAAATATAATGCAAAATATGCAACAAAATAGAGAAAATAAAAGCAGAAGATGTTTCATTGCGGAAGAATCAAACATATTCAAAGAACCTGTAGAAGCAGGGCTCGTTCTGTAAATCAAGAATCATGAAATAAAGCCATAAATGTACCTAGATCAACGTCCTGAAGCCAGTCACAAACTCAAACAAGAAATAATTGCAGCAGACAGGAAAAAACCTATAGACATTATTTACCTGGATTTTACGAAAGATTTTGATCGTGTGTCGAAACGAAGATTACTACATAATCAAATCAAAATCAAATTTATTTGTTTAAATATTAAAGTACATTACCTAATAGTAAAAAAATAGTTATACAGAAAAAAATTCTTTAAAGACATTTAGTTCTATTATTAGTCTGTGCCCCTTTCCTGATGGTGGATTTAAACCAGTAGATAAATTATTTAAAAAAGCCTGTCTTCGACTTGTAACAGTTTCATCTTGCCACAATTTATTTGGTTTATATCTCTCGTTGATCCATGTTTCATCTAAATAAAACATATTTCTTCTTGGTTTCTCATTTTTATAGTACTTAGGTAATTTCTTCTCCATACTACAATATCGCTTCTTTCTATTAAAATAGACTTTCTGGAATGCTTTTTCCATAGAAAACCTATTTCTTTTAAAAGTTTCCATAGTGTGCTTCGACTCATTTCAGGGTAATCCTTATCATCTCGAACCGTGGCAAGAACTTTGTCTACTGTCGGAAATTCTTTTCTAAAGAAGAACGCATGACTTTCCTTCGAAGTCTTTCTTTCAAAAGATTTTCTAATTAAAATTTTGGTTTTCCTGGTTTGAAACTCGCGCCACATTTCTCTTCTTTAACAACTCTGTAAATCGTAGATTTCCCAACACCAAGCGTACTACTAACTAATTCATTCCACTGTGTCATCAACACTTTTACATAAATGTTTGTCTGTAAATGATTTAAAACAATTAAATATTAATGTTTTTTCATTAACTGTTAAAGGACCGATTTTTTGTCGTTTACGCGGCCCTTACAAATTTTCCATGATCACACTAGAATTCACACTGCACCTTGCAAGTTGCAACTAAACGACATTTAGTAAACTGTCAAGAATACACAACTTGGACCTCCTTACTAAATGGAAAACCTATAATCGCATTTTCGGTGAAACTTGTTGGGAAGGTATTTATCTACTTATAATTCGATTACTGTAAGAAATTCTTGGAATTAAAATAAAACAAAATTGGCAAATAGGTACTTATTCAAAATAATCTTAAGATACGGCTATGTAATCTTTAATACACAGGGCTTTTGGCCTGTCCAAACCATTTACTATTGTTCTGTAAAGCTTATGTTTATAAAGGACCAATAAAAGATCCAAAACTTGTAATAGCTCAGGTACATTTATTACAATTTTAGGAAATATTTAGATTATTCTGTAAAAATATTTAAAATGACCGTACTAAGTTTTGCATTAGAAATGCTGTTTTATTACTTTCTCATACATAAAAATAGACTATAGTGCGGTATAAAAATATTCTTGAAAATGTGCAGCACCGATCAACCGGACTATTTTTCGGACGTATGACTTACGCAGAGAGACTACATATGGATGAACTACAAACGTTTGAAAATCGCCATCTGCGGGGTGATATGATAATTTGTTTTCGTATTTTAAAATATAATTTTGAAAAATTTAAAATGTATGTTCATCGTGTACAGAGGCAAAATTTAATCGAATATTCTACACTTGGAATTATCTACCAGAGAATGTTGTAAATGCTCCATCTGTCCATCTGTTTTCAAGAACGAACTTGATAATTTTCTATTTTTTTATTAATATTTCATTTGTTTCATTGTTTGTTTATCGGTTGTATTTGTTATTGATTTAGTTTTTAGTAATATTATTTTATATTCAGTTAATATGGGCTTATGGGTCTTATGGCCCCTGCTCTTATCAAATTATAATAATAATAAATAATAATTATTGTTCAAATATACTATATTCACTGTTACGCATTTCCCTTTCCTAATGAAACACCCTGTATAATACTGCGCCAATCAAAAAAAGTTTTATTTCTGTTATTTTTGTACTTAACCATTAGCGATCATTTCTCGCACAGTACGTAACACAAACTTTCGAACAACTTTGTCAAACTTTCAAAACTGCTGGAAAACTTCACTCACCTCGATATTATTTAAAATGAAGGTAAGTTTTGCTGCCGGTCTGGAAGCTGGCGACGTACAAGTTGCTCTTAATACATCACCTATATCGTAAAAACTTTTATCCGTGTTGAGACTGGGAGAATTGGTCGGTAATACTGTAACAAAATATAAAATTTATTAGATAGACGGAAGTTTTTCGGCATCTGGAAAGGTTCGATTCGTTGTGGAGAAATGAATCTAGTGGGATTTTGGCAGGATGGTTCTTTGTTTCGTTTATTTTCACTGAACTATTCTAAGTATAAAGTGATTGGTAATGGAAATTTTGTTCAATATATTTCAGCGAAATTGCTACAGGATTGGATTTAGGAGAGCTTAGTAGGATATTGGTTTCTGTTTACCTGAAAAGGTACTTGTAAAATACAATTGTTTGTTGATAAAGCAGAACCAAAGTTTATAGAATATCGTAGTTTTAAGTATTTTAATGAACATTATTTTTAGAGGGACTTGTTTTTTTTTTTTAAAGAATTTTGACCAGGATAACATTGAGGAAATAGTAACATTTCTTGTACATAATTTGTTAAATCAGTTTGTTAGACACGCTCCAATAGCAAAATCCAGAGAAACTTAACCTTAAAAACAATGGTTAACAGATATAATAAAAGATATGATTAAAACAAGGGATACATCTTTGCACAAATACAAAAAACCTAATCATTAGTTTGATTTGCATTTTTATAAAGATACGACCAACTAGGATTATTTTAACTTTAAAGTTTAAGTTTATGACTCAAAGTGAATGTGACGTGAGTTAAAACAATGTAAGGGGTTTTCTCGCCAGATTTTTGGTTATGGTTTACTCCACAAACTCTCGAAACGGCGTCGAAAGTACTCGGGTAGCTACAGATGGAGATGAAAAATTCCAGGGGTCAAAGGTCACTTAGACACAGGTAATGGTAGGCCACAAGTAAAGGGCTTTAATCGTTGCTTGGGCTGGTATAGAATTTATCACTAGCTGAAATAAAAGGGGGAAATAAAGTATGGAATTAGTAACCAGTAATACGGCAAGTTAACATTGACAAATATATTGTTTTGAACTATTTACAACATAAAAAAAATAAATTATATATTACAATTCCCACCCCAGTTGTGGTGATAGTCAATATAACCCTAAACAAAAAAAAATGAAGAAACAAAACGGACGGTATTTAATCCCGACTAGTCTCAATCAGACGTCAAAATTGAACTAAAATAAAATGAATGTTTCGGTCGCAGAAAAAAAATTATTAACTTGACTATTAAGTCGGTAATTAAACTAAAACATAATTTCTTATTTCAGTAAGGAAAAATTCTAAGAACGGTCGTAGCAAAAATTAACTATTTAACTGTTGTATCGGGAATTAAACTAAAATGTAGGTATTGTACTATTTCGGTAAGGAAAAATTAGCTCAACGGTCATAGAGTGCGAGGAGACAGGGACGCGAAATAATTACTTATAGTAAATATATACGAAAAGGAAAAATAAATAAATTTATACCCAGGGTAGCCTATTATCCCAGAATGAGCTGATCGTCATCACGAGCCCGCTCAGACAGGGTAATGAAGCTATTTAAGATTTCTGTAAGTTGCAATTTGCACGAAAAAATAAAGAATACAAACGGAATAAGAAAACTAACGCAGATAGCACCTAATCTAAGAATAAACTGAGCGTCATCACGAGCCCGTTCAGACAGGGACAGGATACTATTTAAAGTTATTTAAATTGACGGTGAAAGAGAAAAACAAACTATTATCGGAGGAAAGATAATTACTAACGCGGATAGTACCTACTCCAATAATGAACTGATCTTCATCACGAACCCGTTCAGACAAGGACAGGATACTATTTAGGATTATTTAAATTTGCGGTTTACACATTAACTAAAAAAAAAAAAATAACATGGATAGCACCTACTCCAAGAGTGAACTGATCGTCATCACGAGTTCGTTCAAAAAAAGACAGGATGCTATTTAATATTAATTAAATTTACGGTAAAAGAATAAACAAACTATCAAAAGAGGGAAAATCTTCGAAAACTCCGTTTGTCAATATTCCCAACTTAGTTACAACACGCCACTTACTAAACAAAAGTATTTATCAATAAAGTCAAATTTAATTCCCGATTTAACCTACCAAATAAATAAAAAAATAATTTCTTAGTACAGACTTACGATCAAAAGTCTAAATCCCCGGTATTACAATATTAAAGAACTAAATCCTATCATTTATTATTTAAATCAAATTCTATTCCCTTTAAAGAAACGGTATTATATTTGCCAAGAAATAAATTCTAATATATATTAATGAAATCAAATTAAATCTTTTAACTCAACACTATCTATAAAAATTTTCCTATTTCTACATGATAATTCGGTTTTTAAAATGAAATACGGTCTCAATATAAAACGTAAAAAGCGAAACAAGGTTTTTTACCTAACGGATTTATAAACACGACAAAGAAAAGAAATTATCGGCAGTAAACTGCTAAAGATCAAATATTATATCGAACTAAAAATTTTAATCGTATCTCGGGCCTGGTTCAACTGTCGATTCCCTTTCCATATCAGAGACTTCACCAACGCCAGTCCCACCGCGCATCGATATCTCGATCGGCGTTCGCGCATCTGTAAATTAACTCAGGACCAACAGTTCAATCTCGTTTAATATTTATTAAAAATGAAAAATGAAAATTAACTGATTGAGGAAAAATTGACTTCATTACACTTTCATGCCAATTTTCTATTCTTTTTTATTCTCCCCAATTCTTTTTTATATTTTATTTATATTTTACTTGTGTTATATTTTCAACATTTTATGTAACACTATCTTTTTTTTGTAAACTTTGATATTTCATTTTTCTTTTAAATTTTGTTTTCTATTTTAATTTATCTTGTTTCTTGCTTTCTTTCTGAATCATTTTAATAATTTTTCTTTCCCTATTTTGTATTATGTTTTTCTCTTTAATTTGTTTTTTGAAACCTTTTTTCCTCATTTTTTTCAATTATCAGTTTTCTTTTATTTTCCTTAATGATACCCGTTTCCCTTTATATAATATGAATCTATCTTATTTCATTACGTTTTTTCTCCTTATATTATTAATTTCTTCTAGTATTTTCTTTATATCTTTTTTGTATATTTATTTCTTATTTTATATTTCTTTATTTGCTTCTATTTTTTCTAACATTTTTATATTAATTCTCTTCATATTTATTTTTCTCTTCTTTCCTGTTATTTATTTCTATACTTTCTTCTATTCTCTTAATTATTTCTTGTTCATCTTGTTTTAACTCTTGACTGTATTTTTTATTTTTTTTTTCTTCACTATTTACTGCTTTTACTAATTCTTCCAATTTATTTTCTATCTTCTTTTTGATTCCGTCTATCTTTTCTTTAATTTTCCCATTGTTTGTATCCTTTCTTATTTGTCTTCTATTATAAATTTGTTAATTTCTTCTTTGTTTTCTCTTTTAAATTTCTTCATTTTATCTTTATTTCCTAAATTTCTTAATTTTTCCTTTGTCTTCTCTTCTATCTTTTCCATTTTTTATTTATTTCCATCAATATTTTAATTATGGTTTTCTTTGTCACAAACTCTGTTACATTCCTTATTGCTTCTGATTCCTCTTTCTATTATTTAAAGATTTTGGCCTCGTTGTTTCGATTTTCCATTTAAAGTAGATCTTTTCTTCTTACTATTGTTTTTTCCTAATTTTCTTCTTACTATTGTTTTTTCCTAATTTTCTTCTTACTATTGTTTTTTCCTAATTTTCTTCTTACTATTGTTTTTTCCTAATTTTCTTCTATGTATTCCCCTTCTCCTATTATTTATCACCTTCGTAGATCCATTTAATTTTGTAATAATTTTATCACTTTCAGAATTTAAATTTTAAACTTTCACCTAGCATCTTTATCTACTATTATACATTCAGTTAATTGAACTAAATTATAAAAATACCTTACACAAATTTAAATTTCAAATGTTCGAAGTAATCTATATAGCTAATAGAAAAATTTTCTGCCCCACGTTGGCTGGCGACAATTGATATGGAAACAAAAATACATGTCGATTTAGGAGAAAAAATATTAACTTATGTTAAATTACTTCGTCTACGGATAAGATTTTAGTTTATCTCTAACTCACAAACATTGACCCCACCTCAAAGTGCACATTTAATTAAAATGATCGGTTCAAAGTTGATTTCGCTGCAACTAAGGCGAACATCTGCAAGTCGGTTACAAGTTGGTCGTCTATGAGTTCGATTAGGAATTGGTTTGGGCTTTACGGTAGCAACGGCAGCCAGCGGTTTCCAATAAGAGTTTCCAACTGGAAATGGATCTCGAATCTGTGCAGAGAATAGAGTAATCGAGAGGGTGTTAATAATGGGACTGAGAGCGTTGCCAAAGTTGCGGGTAATCTTCGATAATTCGGCAGTTAAAAATGTTATAAAGGGTTTTCATAAAACAAAAATATAAATATTATTTAGAGAAATATATTGTTAAAATTACAAAGAAAAGTGTAAACAACAAAAAGAAGTTGTATGAAGAACAAAATAATTTGTTATAGCATCAACTGATTTTCATATTTAATAACAAATCTTTTTAATATATAATGTACCAATTTTGTGGAAAAGTTTGATATCTTCCTTGTTGTGAGAGATATTAAATATATTTATCAACAAAATTTATATGCGGTTTGAGGGCCACATTTTAAAATTACATAAAGGTATGTAGGATGTTGCATGACTCAGGTAAGAACCAAACATATGTTTTTTGTTTAACCAGAACACCAGTTTATTATTTTAGATTTGGATTACTCCAATTTTTTCCATTCTTCCTATATATAGTTTTTTTAGAACAATTTAGAAAAATTTTGTATTAAAATCATAAGTAAATCAACGCCCTGTAACCAATTACATACTATGGAAAAAATTGTTTTTTACCTTTACGAATTTTTTAATATAATGAATTACACTTTTCTTTAGGAACGTTTTTATATTATATTTATTAGTATACTTAAGAGTCATGTTTTATTTAAATGGGTCACCCTAGATTTTATATCACCAGTAGAACCCTCTGTAAGAAGCCTTTCATTTTTATTAAGCATTCCTTATACCCAAT